CGGTATACCGTATACCATAATCACTCACCAAACGAATGCCGACCATGGGGAAGAGGTTTCTACCAAGAATACAGGATGGCTGACAGCCAGGTACGAGCAGAAACTGCAGATGCAGTGGTTCGTTGGTAGGCACATGAGCGAAACAACACTGCAGTGTGACAAGCACCGTACCGGAGAGGAGCTTCCCATCGCCAAATCGAATAGATATGGGGGAGGGGAGAGTCTGGAAGGCTTGCTCATTAACAAGACCATTCTCCTTGAGAAAGGCCACCACAACGTTATTAATGAGGGATATATTTGATCCACTATCCACCAAAGTGGTGAGCGGACAGTAACGCTTCACAGAGCCCACCCTCAACTCTATTGTAGGATCTTTTGGGAGAGAGTTCAGATAGCGCGTCGTAGCGCTGGAGCATGTAGCCTTAGTGTCCTCAAGCATGAGAGCTGTGGCAGTGTAAGTCTCAACAACTCGGAGACCTACAGCTTCCTCGGTGACGCCGAGTCGGCGTCACCCTCGGTAGATGAGGTAGCCGCTCGGGTGTGCTCCTTTCCACCAACTGACTGATTCGGTCGAACAGGACGTAATCCACAGCGACAGACACCCGATAGATGACCAGTTTTGTTGCAGCGAGAGCACCGAAAACGGGAACGGTCACATTTGTGACTTTTGGTAGTCTCACCGATGATCAGTTTGCCACAACGATCACAGCGGTCATGTTGGCGGTATATAATATCACCAGTACAAGAACCAGCGCGATGTCCTGCATGCCCGCAACGGATGCATGCATCCTTGTCCAAACCCAGCTCCAGTGCAACGGTCGAGTGTACCTTGCCCTCACTGGCATTGGAGTTACCCTCGGCTCGCTTCGGCGATGACTGACGGAGATTTTGAGGCAGCTGAGATGACCTTGACGAGCCTTTGAGGAAATTGAGATGTGCCGCACTGTTCATAGACTCAAGGAAGCTGAGCATAGACTGCTTAAACTCCTCATAGGGCATCTTCAATAAGGGATCGATAAGACTTTTAGCCAAGATAGAGTCACCGTCAGTCAAGCCATCAGCAAGTCTTTCGCTCATCTGAGCATCCAACACCGAAACGCCAGACAGGGTTTCCTTGATGTGAGCAATGTCTTCCACGCGGTCAGCAAAAGCAGGAATAGATTCCCCAGGTTGTTGGCGCATGCCGAGCCATTTAACCTCGACTGCACGCATCTCTAGGCGATTCATGTGCTTGATGTCAAGTGCCTTGATAAGAGCGACATGGCCTTCAGCCTGGATCAAAGATGCAGAGACTCTTTTCCTGATGCGAGACTTTAGTGGTTCTTGAACGCAACGCAGAACTATTTAGCTGACACTTGGCGGCTACATCGAAATGATCTATTGCAGAGC